CATAAATAGAAATATTTTAGTTTATAAAACCTACAAATGTTATCAGCACCCAATGGCCATCGTTGAACCTAAGAGGCTTCCGGAAAGAATTACGATTTACGGGACATTTTTGACCTTTAAAACGCAAGGTTGATGTTCGCGACACGTCAAAATCTTCAAAACACGATTTACTCCATCTCACTTCGTCGACTTTTGAAGCCATCTTAGTTTTTAAACCTTTCAATTTTATCAATTTATATTATTATATTATCGAGTTTCATCACTTCTCTTTGGAATTCCCTATTCAGTGATACCTCACTAGAATCCATCGCTCTTGAGTGCCGGAAAATGGATCTAAACTACCATATTATGTATAGTGTAAATTATTAATTATATGGTTTATTGAAATTTTTGTGAGTTATTTTTAAGTAAATGATTGCGAAATGTTGCGTATGTGTTAAGAAAAATGTATTTTTACTTTGGATTAAATTTGTTAAAATTAATATGAGGTCATTCATTCTAGGTGCCACCCCACACAATCTCTGAACATTTCTCAGTAGTCCAGTCAATGAATGCTCGAAAATGAAGTAAGATATATATATTATTATATACGTTATTAATATTACTATAAGTCTCTATGCATCTAAATTTCTGCTTAAGTGCTCGTTTATACATAAATATATAACAATGAATATTATAATAATTATTTCTTTCTACAAATTCTAAGAATTGACATATAAAATTATAATTGATCTAAATTTTGAACCGTTTGAGATAAACAAGTAAAATAATATATATTCTAAAAGAAAATTAAATTATTAAAAACTTCCTTCTCGATGACTTATTCGTATAACAAAGCATTCAAGAGTTAGCTAGTCAAATTCAATAAAAACCATGAGGTAAATTTTTTTTTTTTCCAAATTAGCGATAGTTGAGGACGGATATATCGAAAAATAAGCGAGCTAGAAAAAAAAAGGTATATAATCAATTATATTGCAAATTTTATCAGCTTTTATTTTTTTATAGAATGTATTTGTCGATGCGAGGGATAGTTTTCCTAATATAAGCGAATAACCTAAATACTGCAATAAACATGAGGCAAAAATCTTTTTTTTTTTTCCATATTTGCCGTAGTTGAGAAAGGACATCTCGGAAGCTAAGCGAGGTAGAGAAAAATGTATATAATCTATCATATTTCAAATTTTATCAGCTTTAATTTTGAATAGAACATCTTTGTCGATTCGATGGGTAGTTTTCCTGATATAAGCGAAAACCTGAAAAAAATTACCTTTTTGGCGTCCTACCTCCACCCCCTCTCCCCCCCACATCTGACTCATCACCTAGGAGAGGAAAATTTTAGTATATTTACCTCCTTACTAGTCCAAACAATACCAAAAATTGTGTCTCCGTCATTTCCTTCTCCTCATCATTCATCATTCATTGACTGGCCTACAGTGCCAAAATTTGATTTCAATAAAAAAGTTTCCAGTACCTTTCATATTTTATTTTCTAATCTCAACAAATTCAAATGCTGGGATTCTCTCTATTATATAAAAAAAATTTGTTTATTTATTTTATCTCGCCTCTACCACGAAGGGTTCGTTTTTGCTATATTTGTTTTGATCTATGTTTTTTTCCCCTATATTTGTCGGTGTATACCTCTAATTTAAAAAAAAATTGCCAATTTCAAATAAGATGTTTATTATTTGATACTGATTATTTGAAATTGCCAATGCGAAGACGGCATAAAATAATTTCTTCCCGCCTCGACTTTCTCTCACTCGTGTTCCATTTGTGAATTGCTGGTTTGATTTCAGCCAATTTTGCGTTACTATTTTTCCATTCGATTTCCCATTCTTTTAAAAATTCACGTGTAATATCTTGGGTCCAGTCTTCTAAAAAGTTTTTATTAACAGAGTAATATTTTATTTTTCAATCTCAAAAAATCATAATAATGGCATAAAGATTTTTTTTCCTGCTTCTATATATTAAAATAATATATAGAATACATGTAAGTTAAAGTTATACAATTTGAGCAACAAGTAGTATATTAAATAAACAGTTGTATAATTTGTAAAATGATGGGGGATTGGTCCGCCGTCAGCCGGTCATGCTAAAAATTTCGTTAGCCTTTGAAATGGTAATATGTTGAATAAAAACATTTAAATCATACATATATATATATATATATATATATATATATATATATATATATATATATATATAAATGAAATTTTAATTATAAAGTTCCAAAATATTTATAATTTTTTTTAAAATGGAAAATAAACATAAATACATGCATAAGGGGATTCTGATTTAGAATTATCGTGGGTGATAACATAAGAGTAGAGTGAATTAACCTTGAATTCGATTCATAAATCGATTTTTGACTTATCTTTTCTCGTACTAGTGATAATTAATAGTTATGACATAAATTAATCGTTACATTAACATGATTGATTTCAAGGCAATAATATGCGCGAATAATTCGCAAAGAATATTGGTCAATGAACAATTTACAAAATAAAAAGGATATTAAATAATTCAACGTATAAAGAAATCGTTTCCTATTTTTTCAGTAATTGTAATCGACCATGGAAAAGAAAAATATTACAAAACTTCATTCATGTTTTAAACCAAAATGTTTACGAATTACAATAATCTGTATCTCAGCAAATAATGGACCGAATTAGATGATTTCTTTAGGGAATTAAGTAATCAATCGACAAAAATGTCTATACTTCTTAAGTTATTCGCAAATAAAGTTTCTTTTCATTCATAAATTACTCCTATCAAATTTCAGGAAGATATTTTTCTCACCTAAAAATGTTCAAAATGAAGGCTCAATCATTGATGATTTGATGAATTCAGGAATATATTGCGTTCATTTCTAATGGTTTATTAGTATAGCTTCATATTTTATTTCTCTCTGCTAATTTTCTACTGAGCAGACTACTTTTAGCAGTTGCAGACTACAAAATACCATCTTTATCACAAATATAATAAACATGTAAAATTGTTAAATACAACCTTTTACACAAACAATTGCGATATTTATACATACACAAGCGGATTGAATAGTCCATGGTACAAGCAAATTATTAACATCCCGCTGAAACTTCGTAGATAGCTTCATTTCATCGTAAACTACAAATATTTTATTTGCGAAAATTCTCGGAATTGGGGCGTTTTCAATCTGGAAGTCGGCAAACTTTGTCTATTTAATTAGGTACTAAAAACTCGTAAATACCCATTTTCTTTACACTTGAATCGTAAGATAACTTGAGCAAAAAATCGAGAAAAAAAGGTGACCTTCAAAAATATTGAGCCGTTTAGTCCTATATAACCTCGTTATTTTGACAATTTGTGGGTGTAGGTCACGCCAAACGGCTTAATATTTTTGAAGGGTACCTTTTAATATCGATTTTGTGCTCAAGTTATCTTACGATTAAAGTGGAAAGCAAATAGGTATTTACGAGTTTTTATTGCCTAATTAAGTAGACATTGTTTGTCGACCTCCATATTGAAAACGTCTCAATTACGATAATTTTCGTAAATAAAATATTTGTAGGTTACGATGAGGTAAAGCTATTTACGAATATTCAGCAGGATGTTAATAATTTGTTAAAAAGGGGTCTGTACCACGGACTATTATCACTAACAGATTGAAACACAAACGGATTGAAGGGGGAATGACTCTCTAGGATTGATATCCCCAAACAAAACCAAACAAATTTTCTTTTTTCATAGGCTCATTTTTGTTCCTATGAATGATATAAGGTAAATGCTTAAATAATCACAATCTGTAAGCACGATTCAAGAAAATATATAAACATTTTAAGATTAAAAAAATTTAAAACTACAATACAATATATTATAATCTAAAGACTGATACTGAAAACAAACAATCTATTGCTGAAGTCCAATTTATGTCAAAACTATTATTTTAATATTTTGCAATTAAAATAATATTTCTTTAATAAAAATTACCAAGCACTTAATAGCACACTTATTATCGAAATATTTTAAACAAATCTCAATAATTTAAATATTCAATAAACATAACAACAGTATATTTGGTTATTTTTTTTTCGTATTATGTATTGCTAAAATGGTTAACCATTACGTTACGATGACAACAGTAGGCATGATTCGCTTTGTTTCAATGCAGATTAGCACCTTGAAAAATTGAATTGATCATTACTAAACGCTCCCACAATGCAGACAAAATAAGGATCAGGTGGAAAAAAAATTAAATAAAATCACATGTTTATATAGATGAAAACGAAATCCTTTTAAAGGGGAAAATATCAAGAAATGTAAACAGAATTTAATACGTATTTAATAAACAGGAACAGTATATCTTATACAGGAAGTTTTGCGTAAAGATAAAAATTAAAAAAAAACAATGTTCTCATACTAACTCTGATACGTTGATACTTTAATATTAGTTAAGTGATTAAAATTTTAATAACGGTCAGGTTATTGTATTTATTATCTTTGATAATAACATACTACAATATTAAAAGAAAATACACGGGAGATACCCGCAGTAAAAGGGGTGGGGCACTGATTCATAGGGAAAAAATAACCACGGATCATAAGAAGCAGTTTATTTAAAACCATCCTTATTTTAATACCCCAATCATAATTCCATTCAAATATAATTATTTATTAAAAAAAATAAAAAGTATGATTGTCATGAGATTTTATAATTATATGAAGTAATTAATGTTTTATTACAGTGATCAATTATATTGTTAATAAAAATATAGATGGAAATGTTCTAGGTTGAGAACTGTTAGACACTAACTCACCCCACGTTCATGTTTCAGTACTGATTAACACATCCGGCTAAAGAATCAAGTGATAAATCCACAAGAGATTCAATTCAGGAGTTCACAACTTTAATGTTGGTTTATTTATTTAAAAAAAAATTAAATTACTTGAATATTTATCTATGGTTGGATTTTCGTACTTTTTGGAGTAAGAAGGGTACCTATAGGTTTACAACCTCTACTTTATTTATGGGCTATTGTGTTATGGTAATGGAGTGCGTTACCTGTGTGCGTCCTGAGATGTGCTTTGAGATGCGAACTCTTCCCGTACACTTTGCTGCACCCAGGATGTTGACACTTGTGTACTTTCCTCAACAAAGTCCTCCCGCGAGACTTTCGCCCGGGCCTTTTCCTGTACGTCCGATCCTCCGACGCCGATTCTTCTTCGCACTCCTGATTCATGGCTTCGTCTTCGTCATCCTCCTCCATGGAATCCTCTTCTTGCTTTATTTCCGAAAAGTCCGTCAGTATCCTCGCTACCATGTATAGAGGTTGGTTCTCCCTCTCTTCGGGGTAGCTCTCGACCTGCTCGACGATGACTTTATAGGTGGAGGGCTGCCTGTCGCAGATGATGTCCAACGCGGCAGACTTCCGTATATCCACGCCGTTTCTATTGTTGAGATCGCACTTTCCGTGCTGCGACATCTCGATGAGGCACTGGGCAGCATATTTGATATCGTGATCCATGTCGGTTGGGGTAGGTGGGTGGGGCAGGGGGGCGTTACCTTGTTCCGGGGCTGAGCGGTTTGGGGTCTTCAAAGCCTTGAGCACTGTCGATGGGGGTCTTTAAATTATAAAAAAGGGGCCTGAAAACACTATAAATATTAAAAAGGACACTCGCACACGCATGAAAGAACAAACCGGCACAAACGCAGTTCCTACGATGTGTTCGCCGCGCGGGGGTGGCGGCCGACTGAGGACGCAGCTGCAGTTGCCCGATAACCATGTGTTTTTGTTGAATGAGGGGGAAGGGAGGACACGCCTACCCATCGCCCTGCCATCTGTTGGCCACTTCTCGAACGACTATTTCATAGTCTTAATCCATTATTTTTAAATTAATAAATACTAATCTTTTTTTGATTTATCCTTCAATTATAATTTCTATTTAATAATACTTTATTAAGTAATTTGATTAGTCTCATTATTTCATAAAACAAAGTAATTACAACAATAAGTTTATGGGTTATAAAACTTCTTTTTATTTTTAAACTTATTTATTGATAAATATTGCAATGTGTCTCCATTAAGGACATTTATAAGAGTTTTTACAAAGCACATTCAAACTCAACGTAAAAAATTGATCAATAAAATAATAATACTAAAATTAAATGTATATAAACAAAAAGAAACTAAACTAATCAAAATAAAAACATAAACACAAGCACATTTGGATTATAAAAATAATATGCATTAGCATCACAACATTGTATTTTAAAAATATGTATACCGTGAGTTCAAAGCAAAAATTCATTATCTAACATTTCATAAAATTAAAACTATGATACATAATTGGTAAATGGTTGACTGTCGTGGATAATGAAGAGAAGAATAGTTGGGGTGGTCAGTCAAAAAAGAATTTTTGCCTTCTTTTTTGGCTGACCACCCCAACTATTCTTCTCTTCATTAAAACTCTGATAACTTTTCTCACTGTAAAATCAAAACATTGTGAACTTACGATAATTATGTGTGATATATCTAAGGTTGTGTGTCATTTTGAAGTAATTATTGTGCATAAATAAATAAGGTCGAAATTAGCAACAATGTACTTAATAATTTCGTAACTTCAAAAACTTATTTAGTAACTTTTTGTGATTAACCGATGTTAAATTCAATATTTCAACTATAGTTTCTATTTACTATTTTATTAAGTAATTTCAATAACCTCAGTTCTATTTTTTCTCATTTAATAGAACAGAGTGTATATAAGTGAGAGAGTGTATAAGTATTCCTGAGGTGAAAATATTTATTTACTTTTTGAAGTTCGTTTCTGTTTTATTTTGTTTTTGTTTTGATTTATTATTTTTATTGCTATTGTTTAGTTTGTTTATTTATTATATATGGTGTCTTCAATGAATATATAAGCTCTTATACTTTAAAGATTTATTCAACTTCAACAACATTTCATGCTGATTTATTCATTCTCAAGTCATCAAAAATTCAAATAAAAAATTCGTATGCATGAAAACATAATCCTATATTACTATTTCCTTAAATATTCATTTTCGGTACACCAAATACAAAAAACAACACTATTTCTAGTTTCATTTCATGCACATTTACTATAATGCTTTTCCATTTCCGAAACTCGGTACCATATCCATCTTGTCAAAAAAATACTAGTATATTAGCTAAATATTATTTACTTATATTTTATGTGAATATGTTCTCTTATCTTTATTATAAATACCCTTAATTGAGGCAGAATGTAATATTTCTCAGTAATGAAGATTTTTTTAAAAATAAAAAGAAGCTATAATGTTTTTATTTAATAGGTTTTAGACCACAGGTCACTAATAAAATAGTTTTTATTGCATTTCAATATTTGCTAACATTTCGGCTTCCTGAGCTATTTTCAAAGCAATAATAGTATTAACAATTATACGCCAATGGACTATAAAAGTGATATTTATTAGAATCACAGCAATGCAATTTAAAAAAAAAAATGTATAATTTTATCTTTTGATTTTGATTTTTTAACAAATATAAAAAAAATATTATGAAATCATGAAGAGCTAACTGCAAAGAGAGAAAAACATAAAAAAAAAACAATAATTATCTTAACTTTTTTTGTATTACATAATGCACTAATGCCTAATCAGGACTATTTTTTTTTTAAATTAACAAATTCCAATCTGTTTTTGGTTCATACTTCATCAATTATTATTTCTACATAATAATATTATATTAAGTAATTTAAAAAGTCTCATTTCTACTTTTTCTTATTTAATAAAATAGAGAAATAAAAGTATTAACAACTATAATTTAATTTTAATGCTTTAATGACTGTAAAACCTAAATTGGTTAACACTGTAAGTATTTGAATTTAAAAAGAAAAGATTTTTATATTTTAATTGTTTTCAATATTATTATTATTAGATACACATATTTCTGGCTCACAATAAATTTGCCATCTACATTGGTATTCAGCAAATATGATATCAAGGACAAGAAATGATAGCATAAGAAAAAAAATAATAGTAATCAAGGCAAAACGGAGAAATTTTGAATAATTTTTTTTCATACACTCTAGAGATATATATTTTATTTTCTAATAAATTTTTTGAAAAAAATATTTTTTTTGTTGAAATCTGTATATACTTCCTTGTAACAATATTTATGATAGGACTAGATTGATCATACTTATAAAATATATTTCTCTAATATTGGCCACACTTTGAATGTAATGAGGAGAAAAATAATAGTCAGATAGTTAATGTGAGAGTTCTCACACAAGTATAGTTGTAATACATAATCTAAATCTATCTTAAATATAGAAAAACAAATTGAGAAAAATCAAATAACTATTATTTACCTTGATATCTTCTGTGATCAGTGGCTAACTTCCTGTGAATCTGAAAACAAAATTGGAAATATAAATATTTTTCATTTGCAATCCATTTAAGTATTTAATGAATTTAACTTTAGAAAAGCTTAAACAATTAAGTTCATAATAAATACTTGATTTAAAGATTTCATCAACAAAATTATCCCTGACCAATTTGGTTTAGAATAAACTATGATCATAGCAAAGTAACTGCAACAACGAATTGTCATCAAAAAATAATATTAGTGAAATAACAATATAAAGTTTCGTGTACTTGATGGTGTCTGGGAAGCAACCCATCTATATTGAGTAAGAACTATAGCTAGTTCGAATCAGGACTGGTTTGTTCGATATGGGTCATTGAATTGGCTTTATTGAAATGGACCAATTTTTCGTACTATGTTATTGTTCTTAGGGCGCTTTAGTTCTAGAATAACATTATTTTCCATTCATTCAATAAATTGTATTCGCCTCCATGTTGGGAATTGTTTATTTCTACTTTAGATAGTAATAGTCAACTTTAATAGACTTCTTCCGTTCAAACTGTATATTTTATTCCAAAATCGGCCAACTAATTCTTTTCTCATTAAATATTGAATTTCATCTTTAACTTGTTGATTATTATAGTTAGAGGTAAAATTTCAGTTACTATTCAAATATGGATTTTCATATTGGTTAGTATTAAATAATGTGTATTATAAGGTAGAGCATATCTTTTTTTGAATGATTTCACTCTTTACTTTCTTGTGTTGTATATTTCAAGATAAATTCTATAATTACTTACAATAATAAGAAAATTGTGAAGTAGCAAATATTTATTTTATGTTTTCCTATCCCATAGAATAAAGAATAATAATAGTAATATGCATCAATGATTGGTAAAGGGTTTTCATTAGTATTTGAGGCAAAAGAAAAAATAAAGAAAGAATATAAATAAAAAATTGAATAACTAAAATTTAGACTCAAAAAAATTTTTTTTTAATATTTTGAATGGCAAAAAGATTATCTCTACTTTATAAAATAAAGCAATAAGTAGTTTGTGATTTTGAAAAATATATCTAGAAACAAAATAAATTGGAGATTAAATTTGATCTTCTAGTGGATGAAAAGAAACTTCCACTATTTTTTTATTTCTAACAAATCATTAAAAACATGAAATGTTATGTTGAAATGGCCCATATCCACTTTGATCCTTAAATTTTATTAGATGTTTTCAGAAGTAAAGAAAACTGTTGGTATTTACTATTAATAACAATAGCAAAACGTAGTTTACTTTTTACTCTGAAAATTTACACCATTAAAACAATTATTAAATGAAACACAATAATGTATTAAATGTCTTGACTGTACGAGGAATTTTTTTCATTTTTTGGCTTCAAGATTTTAATCAAAATCCTATTTAGCCATGTACTTAGGATTATTAATTACATGCTTAACGACGAATGTCAAATAACAAACAGAATACTTTAATTTTAGAAATTTGAAAAAATAAAACATACATGTTTAGAGGGGGGTCTACCACATGTATGGATGACACTTGAAGGTTTTTCGTTTTACAAAAATATATTATAGAATTTATTGATATATTAATGGAATTGAATAGATTTAGAATTTTAATGTTTCTTATATCAAAATCGTAAGAAGAAATATTTAAAAAATAAAATACAATTATTTACTAGAATTGCTTATAACTGAATAGATAAATATTTTAATGAATTTATCAGGATTTGATTTAATTTAAATCTTATTTATGTGCGTTCAAAAAGACATAAAAATAAAAATATGAATATGAATTACTTTACATTGTCAACACTGAATATCACGTGCCTTTTGTGTTGGGGTCAGGTTAGGATTGTGCTGTTATATTTTTGAGTACATTCAGTTTTCTTTGCGATTTATATATACATTTTAATTTATTAAATATATTGTGTTTCAAGTATTATTTTTAATCTCTCGACTATTATTAATAATTTTAATTAGGATTTGTTTTCAGTAGAACTAATTGCATAATGGTAAAAAAAATATTCAGTTACCAGACCAAAATGCATGTTAATAATATTTATATTTATGTATGGTCACTCGCCTAATATATTGTGCTTTATATAACAGGGTAAGAAAAAGAAGTTTATTGATAAGAAAAATTCTGTTACATTTCGTCTACTACACAGGAGTCAAAAAGATCCTCTTGTCACTGACCAAGATGCACCACAATTTGTTCTTCAAGAAGTTGAAGAAAAGGTATGCAAGAAAACATTATTGCCTTATTCATGTCAGTATTTGAACTTTCAAGATGAAATATTTTTGAAAGACTTTTAAAAACATTTGTCAACTATTGTAAAAATAGTTAAATTGATTTCATTCAGTCCAATCCAACAAACTCAGTTATATTTACCTGTTTAGATTGGCTCAATTTGGCATTATATAGCTGTTTAAATTCTCCACTTGAATGATCCTCTTCTATCTAAATATAGTCGAATCTCTCTATACCAATCTTTCATATTGTCGATTTATTGAAAATGTCATTAAGTGACCCTTTGTGTTCTTAACTTCTGACGTGATCTTAACTTTGTGTGCAATTATAGGGTGTATCATTTTCATGCAATTACAGAGCTTTTGTAATTCAAAATTCACAAAAACCTGCTTGGAAAAAATCCTGCATGGATGGACATAAACGCACATAAATGGAAACGTGCATATAAAAAATGCACTGAGTGACTTTTTGAAATAAACCAAAGATTTATTGAAAATCTATGAATCAATTTTTTTTTTGGAGTGTTGAATTTTTTTAAAGGAAAAAGATACATTACTATTTCATGAGAGTTCCGCAAGGATTATGTTTGGTTCATATCGGTGGATAGGTCAATCACATCGGTCACGATTGTTCATGAAATGCTAGAAAAAATCTAATGTTGCTGAATATTATGATGCTAACTTTTGTCCCAACATTCTTCTTTGAGACATTTTTAAAAAACCTGTAATTTCTGCCTGAAAGCTGCCATTTTGAAATAAAATGTTGCCAATTAAAGTTTTGATAAATTAATCTTGGCTATTTGTAATAATAAAGGAAAAATATGTGGTTATATTTTATTTTTTTTACGAAGCCAAAAAAACAAAATAAAAATTATATTTAGTTGAAAACAATAAGCTATATTATTACAATTTCCAACTCTATAATTTAAACATCATTATGCTCCTTTACGTTATAGCAGAATGGTTAACTCACTTTTTTTATTAGATCGGATCGCTGCCTCTATTTTATAGTACAACTTGCTCCCACAAGAAGATAAACCGTACCCCCTTAATTAGGGGAGGCCTAGATGTTGATAATATATTTGTAAAAATAGGCCAGTAAAAAAAAATTATGCTTTAATTGAAATTTTATTATTGCTTATTTGTAAGAATGTTGCTAGTCAGGAATTTTAATAACGAAAATCGATTGACACCATGGTTGATGTATAATTATTCATTGTCCCTATTTATGTATTAGATATTAATATTATTTCAGTAAGGTATGAAATCAAAATATTAAATTTGATTAGATATAGTAACTCTTTTGGTAATAAAGAATTTTTTTTAGCCAAAGGACACTGATAACAAAGAAGAAAGACACAAATATGGTATTTATTTTGATGACGACTATGACTACATGCAACATCTACGGGAGAGAGGTGGTGGACAGGTTGCCCTCGCATCTCAAACTATCGTCACTAAAACGGTAAGATACTTTGCCTTGCATTTTCTATTTTTATAAAATAGAAAAATATTAATGATTAACAAGGAGTGTGTCAGTTTAGTGAGTAAATTAGTGTTGCTACTTAAGCTGAAAGTTATTTCTTTTTTTTTTTTTTTTTAGAAACAAAAGAAGGGTATTAATTTACCCTCATCAGTTTTTCAATCTGATGTTGAAGAAAAAGTGGGAGTTCTCAACAAAGCTGCTCCACAAGGTATGTTGCTTTCATTGTTGTATACAGAGTTTATATATCTTACAGTATGTTGATAACAATTTATAAAAAAACCTCATCAAATATAAACTGCTTCGAGTTTAAAGAATTAAATTGAAGAAACTTGAAAATTATTTTCATTTATAATATTATGTTAACAGTCTTAGAGAGGGCCAGGATGTAAATAGAGTCTTCGTTAGGGAGAAGGTTTGATTGTGAATTATTAATTCAATGTAAAAATGTAAGCCATTTTAAGTATTATTAATGTTGTCTGCCATTCTAAAGTCAGTGATTTAAAAAATATTATGTTAATACAGTAATACGCTTAGGCGTTGATTACCTGGGGTTTTACACCTTTAAACAACAACAAACAAACAAGCAATAATAGACATATCAGTAGAGGATTGAAACAGGAAATTATGTTACAAATGGTGGAGTAGAAACGTGAGTGGGATGGCCGAATGGGCTAACATGTATGCTCAGCACCACTGTTGCCCGACAATCTGATATATGAGACAAATGATAAAAAATAATCACGAGTTTACACCCCACCCCGGAGCCAAAGAAGTCTTTTAAATTCCTACCCACATCCCCTAGCCTTGGATAATGCCGTATAGCCTTAAGGGCAAGGAATGGGAGGAAAAAAAAAAAAAAAAAAAAAAAATATGGTGGAGTAGAAACTTATTCCTTTTTAAATTTATTTAAGATAGGTATAAAGATTTTTATAAAATTTGCTAACACAGGCCATGTTGAATGAACTTTCGGTTTAAAAAGTATTCCTGAACAATATGGAGCATGGTAGCTCAATCAGTAAATTACTGTACTTCTGTGCTCCAGGTTCTGGGTTTGAGTCCAGCTGTCGAATAATTATTATACTACATTAACAATAATTATCGATTACACCTGAACCCGGAGATGTTCCTGGAATATACTCAGCCTGTGTGTGTGACCCAATCTCCTCTCTGCACAACCGTTGGCAGAGGAACAGTGCTCCCAAAGACTAAAAACCTATGTGTTAGCATTTTTGTGTTTTAGATATTTAAAATATATGTAATATATGCAAGTTAAAAAAGAATAAAGATTCTACCTCACATTTTGTAATATACCCTGTTTCAATCCTCTAGTGGCTGGCTCATTGTTTTTAAACCTATGGCTTTGAAACAGCAGACGAGATTTGTTTTACTTAAAATGGCATACAATTTCATAAATTAGAAATCATACCTTCATCATCATATCATCGTACCTCAAATTGTGTATCTGTTAATATTATCATCCTCTGTCTATTGTCACATCATCATTTCTTATTGAGATTGGTGTAAATGTTACATTTAAGTCAATTTATTAATTTTATTATATTATGTTTTCATAAACATAAAGAATATAATATTTTAATTATCATTTATTTTATAGGATTGACTTTGGATTTTGATCCTGATCTTCCCGAAGTTCTGGCTGCAATGGAAACTGCCAGTGAAAATCCCAACGATGATTGGCTGGATGACGATTTCGTCACGAAAGCTAATGAAGGTGGCGAAGGGTCAGTACTTGTGAAATATAATATGTAGTTACAAATAGGATAATTAATTTGTCTTTTATGAATAGTAAGTCACTCTTTTTGGCAATTGGAATTGTGAACATAGATAGAAAATTATAGTTAATAATTATTAATAATAGATTTAATAAATGTAGTTTGTTTAATGGCTCTGGATGTCCTCCCAAAAGTTCTCTCAATGTGTTTCAATTACTGACAGAACATAAAATAAGATTTACTATCTGTTGCAAAAAATAACTTAACTTTCAGTGATAAAATCAAGTAGAGAACTGACTGAGGAAATAGTCAATGCTACTAGGACCTAAGAAAATTCCTTTCATTATACTTAAAAGGTTGTGTTCCTGGAATAAAATCATTTCATCCGTCTCTTAACCAGCGATGGCACATTAAGTTTGCTAAAGGATGGAAGAAGAATGGAACAAATTTTTAAGGAGAGATTATTCAATATTTTAAATGTTTGGTTCCTGAAGAAAGCAGTATATTAGAGAAAATATGGAGTAGAATTTTCGAATGAATATTTGCAACCAACAGTAAGACATGAGTATGGCTTCTTAATGGTTTTGGGGTGTGTTTCTTGATCTGTAGTTGAAAACCTCTAGTGAATAGGTGGGAAACTGGATGCAAAACGGTACCATAGCATTCTTACACACCATGTAATATCATCTGGGATTAATCTGATTGGTCAGAACTTTTTTTTTCAGCAGGATAATGATAACAAGTTTGATATATTTTGGCAGTTTTTGAAATAAAAGTAAATTATGTAGAAAACAAAAATAAATTATGATATATGGAATGTTTAATTAAATTTCTAAAAAAAAGGTAGGGAAAACTAATAGTAAGACTATTTCTACAGATGCACTCAGCTTCCTAGAATTTATACTACACCATTTGATGTTAAAAACAGAATAAATACTAAAGTAGATAATAAATTAGTAAAATCTACCCCTGAAAATAACGTCAACACAACGGATTTGTCTTGTTAATTGAAAATAATGCTAATTAAATATATATTACAGCTTCAATGTCTGTTAGATTAAATAAATTTACGATTAAGAAGACAAATAGACTTTTAAATTGAAACGTTTTATTATAATTTGGTTTGTTCAAAGATGTTTCACATCTCTGTATATCTGTGGCAATAGTGTGATAAGTGCCAAAATCATATTTTCAGAAAAACGTAATTGAAAGTTTCGAATTTTCTCTGACGCAAGTTCAATATTTGAGTTTCAACCCATGATTCACAAAGGAGTATTCTTCTCTGTAATAGCCGCATAACTCAGCCTTGTTAACACTAAGAAAAATTAGCTTTCTGGTGATACCCATAAAAATTTACTTCACGCATGCCATTGATATACTAAACTTAATCAGTTAACGTCCTGATGTTTATTATTAATTACTATTTAATTTAGATGCAACTACAATGCAATACCGATACCACGAATTGTTATCTACATACTTCCATCCACCGGCTGCCTTCCAAACCAAATCCCGCAAGATCTACCTTAACACAATACTTTATTTACATAAAACCTTTATTGCAAAACCCACATTGCTCATCATTTAATGTAAAATAGTTTTTGAATTATTAAAATTTATAAAAACTTGCATGTAATCTAGTTAGTCTTTAATTAATTCTTGAATCTGTTTATTTAATTCTTTTTTTTTTTTTTTAGTTTATTTTAAAAAGATTATTCTGTTTTTTTAATCTGTAGAACTGAAGAGGAGGATGATGATGAGATGTACTCTGATGAAGATGAGTACGATGAAGAACGTGATGAATTAATGAGCTTAGAGAGAGAAGAAACAAAATCTCGATTTACAGAGTATTCAATGACTAGCTCAGTGATGCGAAGAAATGAGCAACTTACCATGTTAGATGATCGGTTTGAGGAAGTAAGTTAACATTTTTTTAATATTAACTTCCTCGAATAATTTTTGTTGTAATAATTACATAATAATTAATTATCAAGTCAAGATTTGGTGGCAGCCTGAGGACTAATTCAGGTAGAATTAACAAGGGAAGGTCGCATTCAGTGGATAACCAATTTGAAGCAACTTTTTTTTAATGATTCTACATAAAAGAAATATGAGATATATATCCTGTTTTTTGTTCCAAAGGGCCTTAGGAGCTGAGACAAAAATTCTATAATTTAAAAAAACAATTATGTTATTTCTTTTTGTCTTTGCTTTGTTCGAATTTTCAGGTTTTTATATACTGATCGGTTTATTTTTTTGTGCAGTCTGAGAAAAATTTTTGCCAATAGTGTATTTAATGAGTTATAATGTATCAAAAACTATAGAAACCAAATGACGCTTACAGAAAGTAGGCCAAGAAAAATTTTGTAATGAAAAAAGACATTAGACATTTTTAATGTTCTTTCATACAAATTTTCATAATAATCAAAAAATATGGATTTTAGTAGTTGATTTTCTTGAAAGATTTTTTTTTTCTGTCCTTCAACGAAATTATTGATAACTCCTCAGACTTTTCTTTGAATTATATGTTACTAAATCCATTACAAAACTGGATTACTGCTTCTCTAAATGAAATTAATTATTTTTAGGTTTGACGCCTTTCTAAGAAATATATATAGAAAGTGTTCAAAATTTTTATTTTATATCTCTAGTTCTAATTTGTTTATGGGTGTCTCACTTGTATCATTTCATGTAGTTTATAGGTCACTAGGTCCCTTATAATTTATATGTAGATTGGTGGTGTTCTCTTAAAGTTATGACAATTTTTTTCTTCTTAAAAAAAAAAACAAAAGGGTCCGGCTCAGCCAAAAATTTTGTGTAAAAACGATTATTGGTGGGAAAACGAATATCAACTTTATTTTTCTTAAAAAAATATTTACCCCATATTGCTATGTCGGTCAGTCCAATTTAGCTATACCTCATAAGGGCCAGTTGCACAATTCACGGTTTTTATCAAGATTTAGTTATGTGAGCTTAATCTACCAATAACAGCTCAGCTCTGTAATCACCACTTTCGGTCATTGGTAAAAAGTTAAATTTAAACCAAGATATATGAAGAAAGTAGGAGGTTACTAATAAGTTTTTCTACAGTTCTTTGTGATGTGAGCTTCTTATTGTCTTCTCGAGTGTTTGTTTTCGTTTAACCAAGGTCAAAGCTAAATTAATTTGTGTTAGTTATCAAAAAATAACTATCTAAATCTATCACAAAATTCATCATCACCAATGGACAAAATGATTCATCCGAGGACAATACTTTTTTATCCATTAGTAAAACTGCAATTAAATTAAGAAAATCCAAATCTAAAAGGTCGTCAAAATCTAGCATATCCCTTTTTGTAAGAGAAAAGATGAATTAAAATTATTAACAGGAAGGAAACAGCAAAAATACCATGGAAGGTTATCATAGCCGCCAAGGATAACCCTAGGAAACTAAATTTTTCTTCGAAGTAAAGCTTAAGCTTCTACGGTCGACCAATCAAGATTAAACTTGTTTTAATCTTAGATAATGCTTAATCTGAGCTTTACTGAGTTGGAGCAACTGGGCCTAAGAGAACAATATTATAACAAAGTTGACCGATTGTTGTAGCAATGGGGGAGGGAAGGAGGTAAATATTTTTTCAACTGTCATATGATGTTTGATAATAATTACTATAGCTACTAAAAAGTAACTAGATATATTTTGTTTATAAAAGTTTATAAGTGTATCATTTTATTAAATTTTGATTAGAAAAAATCATATCATAGATTTCCTACTTTGCACTTGCCATTACATAGTTTTCCATTACCATTTACTATTCTGTCCATATGAATATTAATCTCTTATATCCTCTGTTTTATAGTTATTTGCAGAGTATGATGACAGTGAAATTGGAGCCCTTGACACAGAAGAAATTGAAGGATATGTTGAGCCAGAAACAAATGTTCTTGACAAATTCATTAAGGACTTTGATTGCATCAATCAAAGGGTAAATATTAATCACATTTTTCTATAGATTATACAATACTATATTTTTAAAAATAACAAATAAAAGGTTAAATTTATGTTTTTATTTTTTTAGGAAGATATTATTCCACAACGCCCTATTTTGTACAATGACAGTGATTCCTCAGCTGATGAAAACTTTGAATACTTAGAGGTCAAACCAAAAGAAAAATGGGATTGTGAATCTATTTTAACAACTTATTCAAATATTTATAACCACCCCAAAATAATCGACGCACCACAGGTGATTTTATTAGTTTTGTAAATAATATAAGCTATATTGATATAATATGAGAAAGAGTTAGTCGTAGTTACTATAACATTACTTATTCAATTTTCAATCTATTTATTAGTTAACATTCATATTATTTATCTGTTAAACCCACAGTTATCTAATGTAATCTCTATTAGTTTGTTATACACTTATTCCTTATCTTTTTTTGCAATCTGTTTACTTTTAACTTACATGCTATATTCTCCTTTATTTTTATTTTTATTCATATTTATTTTCCATTTATTTGTATCTTCAACATATATAATACTTAATATTTACTACATTGTCACCCACTATATCTCTGATATTATCTTTTATTTCTGTATCTGACAACTTCTTCTTATTTTATATCTACTTATATTTAATTTTTATCCTCAACATGTTTTGTATCTTTTGTAGCCCTGAAGACGACCTGTAAAGTGGGTCGAAACGTCGGCAAAATTAAAATAAAATAATTACTATATTTTAATTTAGTATTTATCTGACCGCACCCCGGACTAACTCCTTCTCATAATATAAGCTATAATTTTTGTATTTTATTTTATTTTTTGTTTTATGAAATGATTTTTAACCTCAATTAAACTTTTCAGTCGAAAATTAAAATCAATTCCATGGGAGTGGCCGTTAACAAGAATAAATTAACTGCCGGTGCTCTCGCCAAACTTGATGGTAGCAAAGGGAACAGAGCCACTGGCCCTGGATCAATTGCTTCGGCTATTACACTCCTGTCCATCAGGTCCAAGAATGAAACACCGAGAGAGAAGAAGAGTAGAAAGAAAGCTTTCCGAGAGCACAAGAGGGTAAGTATTAAATATTAGCAATCATTTGTGATTATTTCTAATCATTATGAGTAATTTTAAACTCGTTTTCTAATGTTCAAAGTGTTTTCTTTCTTCTGTATATTAACTGTGTTCTTTTTTAATTACCTCTGAGATGTTTTCATATCGCACCACAATCTAGGAAAGTTAGAATCGGTAATTATTTATCCGAAATGTTTGAATTTCACTCGGGTTTAAAATAAGAAAAGGGAATCTTCATCCTTGAAGACAAAGAAGGTCGTGGAAGGATTTCCTCTTTTGATGATAGTGTTCTGCATGCTTTGGTGGAAGAAAACCCCAGAATAACTGTTCAAGAACTTTCTGGGAAACTTAACCTGAAATCAACTATCGATGACCACCTCAAGGTGATTGGAAAGGTAAAAAAGCTTGAAAGTTGGGTTCCACACACATTAAACGACTGCCATTGCCGAAACAAAAACAACCCTTTTCTGTCCAGAATTTTTACTTGTGATAAAAAGTGGATACTCTACGATAACAGTATACGTTCTTGTTGAAAGTGTAGAGTTCTCGACAGAGAAGAAGCAGCAGAACATTTTCCAAAGCCCCAACTCATAAAAAAAAGTTATGGTTACTGTTTGGTGGGCTTGATTTGGTTTGATACTCTGTAGTTTCTTAAATTCTGGAGAAACCATCAATGCCGAATCGTATTGTACCCAAATTAATGCAATGCATCAGAAATTGGCAATAATGAAGCCATCTATGGTCAATCAGAAGGGGCCCATTAATTCTATTCCGAGGGAATGGAAAAGTTGCCAACACGTTGGCAGAAATGTATTAATAGTGGTGGAGATTATTTTGATTAAATAAAACAGTTGTAAATCTTTCTTTTTAAACCAAAGCCCTACTTTATTTACCCAATATATTTTGAAAATAAAGCTGATCAATTTATTACAAAATCCAAGAAAATGAAAACTCATTTTTTATGACATCAGATCCTCCTATTAGTCTAATAAATTTATAGTCAGTCTTTTTATTGTAAACTAGTGTTAGCCAAGAGGTCAAAATTTGACCATAATCATTATTGAACATTTGAGGAAAACATGAATCAATTTACATTTTTATTTCTACTCATATATTCGTAGATTCACTTTTATATGTACTTACAAAAGAACACAATGCAGTATTTTTTGAGTTATTGGCAAATAAAAATGTGAATCCATCATAACTATTTTCAAAAAAAATATTTGAACCTACTTTGTTCACTCTGAAAAGTTGAGGCAAACAATTTTTATTTTTTGATTGCTATGAAAATTTGTATTTAAGGGTTTTTTCAGGTGCGATATACTAATCTCAATTTGTTTCCTGCTTAAAATAATATTTGACATCACTTTGATCCTTCGGCCGCTACAATTTGTTTCATTTCAATATTGTATTTATATTATAGCTATATTTCAAACTTATATTAGTCACAATAGAGTTCTTCTAAAAAATATAAAGTGAAGAAAATTAAAAAAAAAAAAATGCAATAAAAATATCTTACCGGACATGATTCTTTTCGATGTTTTTTTTTTTTTTCATTTCATAGGGAATTTAGAAAGCTTTCAAATAATCATAGGTTTAATGAACCAAAAATTTGTGTGTTATTCGGAAATAAAATTCTAAGTCCTTTTTTACTCTTTTTCAGCCTATTTTTGGGGTAGTATGATGTATACATAAATTAAAAGGGTTTCAAGGGGAAGACTTTAGCCAAGTTTCATTAAAATCGTTATAGCCATTTTTGCCTTATAGTCTATAGTGAGATGTTTTTTGGCTGTCGTTTTGAAACGAAAGGCTAGATGGTACTGAAATATATATAAAAACATTCCTGAATTTGATTGTAACATTGTATCAAAATTTCAAAGCAGTCTTTGAAAAACTTTTGGATATTAGCGATTTTGAACCAACCAACAATTACATTTTTATTTATATTCTCTTTTTCAAATATTTTTTGTTGATAACACTAAAGCTTATCAATGGCTACTAAAAAAAAATAAGAAAAACTAAAATGGGCTGAGAAATAGAGGAGAATTTTTGTGATTCAATTTCTTCAAATTCTTTCTGAATTATTATTATTCTAAAATATTTAAATTGTGTTTTGTGTAATTCTTTCAGGAAAGAAGAATTGAAAGGAAATTGAATACAGAAGCGTTTAAGGAAGAAAAAAGAAAAGTAGAGAAAATGATGGCACAAAACAAGAGTAGGTTCCAAGTTCCGTTGTAAATTGTCCTGTTATTTTGTAAATAATATACTTTATGTTTTATACAAGATGTCTTCTTATTTTATTCCTATCACATTTAATTGCCTCAATATTGAATAGATTTTGATTTTAGTTGTAATAATAATGTGTTTACACTTTACCAATAAAGTTCTATTGTGATCACTAGTGATTAAATCTTATCAGTTTCGCTCATTTTTATTCCTGCTCTCGCCCCCAACTTCTTTTATTTACCTACAGTGGCCCATAAGTAAGAGAAACATTTAAAAGGGTGATAGCTGACCTCAAGAGGTACAAATATTTTATATAAATAAAGGTCTGATATATACCAGAAAGGTAGAAAATTTTTTTTGTTGAATTGGAAGTTATAGCTAAAAAAAATGTTATTAATACAATTAACAATTACTCCATAGTAAAATAGAAAAAAATCACTTTAAATGGCAATAGATTTTATCTTTGTTAAGAGCATTTAAGTGGCTAAACTGTGTTCTCTTTTAAATAAAACTTAAAGTTAACATTGATTATTCACGATTTTTTTTTATCACTCTTCAACTCGACTACAGACCCCAGGTCCCACTTAATAAGATTTAATTTCATATTAATTTATTTGAGGTCTGTTATGGAGTAAGTTGAGTCACAGCTAGTTTCTAAAAATAAAAAAAATAAAATAAAATAAAAAAAAATCTGTTGGAAATATCCTGATAGTGCCTCACAAAGCTGTGGTTGAAACATAAAATTGACTGCATTATGACTATCACCCATAAAAAAATTTGTGATTTGACATTCTGTCACTCCAAACTACCTGTTTTTAGCAAAAAATAACTTATGATAATTTATTTAATGCTTTTTTTTTTCTATAACCTGGGTAGTATCTTTAGTATATTAACAATCACAAAAATATACTTTCTATTTATAATAACAAGTAATGCATTTGCAAAAATTTATCTTAAATAGTGTTGCACATTTGTTTTTACACCTATCCTTATCAAGAGAAAAAGTAACTGTTTTAAGAGAAATTTTCAACATTAATGTCAACCAGTTAGTTCTGCATAAGGGTATAGGCAGATTTCAATTAGGTGGAGTGGGCAGGACATAATCTCAGGTAAGTAAATGATTTCAAACTCTATTATACTATACTAAGAAGTTTATTATCACATTTTATAAGAATGTATACAATACATACATAAAATAAAATATTTAAAAATTGATTGTTCGGCAAATCTATTGTATTATATGTTTTATTTTCTTTCAAACTATTTAGGGGGAGAAACGTATTTTCCCGCATTTTTTACTTTAAACGTCTATTTTCTAATAATGTCCAAAAGGGAGAAATATTGATGCATACTTCTATTACAGTCATCTGATGCCTATGCCTCACTATTTGTAATATTTGCCTGATATTATACTTTTTATACCATAGGCACATTATCTGATGTGATTTTCCTTAACAACTGATACTTCATACTAAATAATAACAGAAGCATCTCTTAAAGCTTTACCTTATGATCATCATCAGGGCATTACTCCATTACTTTACTTGTGACATCGGAATCATTATGATGTATTTTCTATGTACCATCTCCCAAATGAATTAACCACTCACTAAAATCTGTATCCCCATTTGCCCGCATATTTGACTTCAAACAACTATTTTCAATTAGTGTCCAAAGGGAGAAATCTTGTTGCACACTTATATTATAGTTGTTCGATGCCTACACCAAACTACCTATAATATTTGTCTGTAGTCTCCACTAAATATATTTTTGTAAAGGCACATCATCTGATGTGATTTTCCTTAACAATCTATCAACAACTGACATTTTATTGACACTTATTACAGAAACACATCTTAAATCTTTACTTTGCTCAGAATGTGGTATTTTTTCAAACAGTGGATCCGACAGTTAGAACATGGAATGTGAAGTTCTTCCTCCTTCCAAAAGTTTGCTAGTGGAAGCTACAGGTAAAACTATTTTCTCTCCAACTCCAAGAATATTTGTAAAGAAAGGTTTTTTCCTGTCCCTTTTGTACAGTTAATTTATATTAATTTTTACACATTTTCTGGAACAGTTGTCAATATTTTATGAACTATATTGAGTTGTTCAATGTTTTTAAGACCACCGACATGTTCATACTTTATTTTGGCAGACAAAATAGCTTAATGCTATTTAAAAATAGCGAGGAACGGGTCAACTCTGTGAGCCCGCCGCCACAAAAATTAATTAATTTAAAAAAAAAGAATACCCATAAATTAATTTTAAAGGGGTTGAAAAGGCAATCTTCGACCCCTCTAACCACGTTCCTTTTCTTATAGATACGTTTTTGTTACAAGTCCTAAGAAAGCATCTCCATTTTATGACCTTCACAATATTTCACTTTTGCAATCATCCCGGCGTCTTGAAAATATTTGATAGCCTCTTCTTCTGAAAACGGCAATCCCCACAATATAATAACATCCAATTGCAGGCCCTGCTCCATTGCTGAGACCTCAGGCTTTCGGCTGAGACCTCCAACTCTTCCCCCAAAATGGTAAAATATATCCATGTCTTACGAAAAAAAAAGTATCTCTAAATTGTATTATTTTGTCGCTAATTACATTTAATAGGACTTCAAGATTCACTTAAACACCACCATTTCTTATAGGTAGTTAGTATCTTCCTTTTTCTTCCAAATTAATTATCGTAATATATGTAGACAAAAAAAGCTGAAGCCCCCCACTCAATATTAATTCCTAGATCCGCTAGTGACTTAGACCACAAGGGCGTATGTTCGATTTCCGTAAAACTATTCTGAATCTGCACATTAGGTAAATCTCTAAGAATGTGTTTGAGATATATGTCAATTATTTTCACGAAGCTTATGCAGCATTTTAAAGTAAATAAGTAAATAATACAGTGGAAATATATACTCAACCCTATTAGGAGGGGGGGGGCGTAATAACCAAGTTGCTGATCACTTGGTACAACTCTATTAATTAGACTGAAGTTAATCAACTATCGACAGTATGGAATTATTGATAGTGAAAAACTATCTACTATCGCTCATCCTGATACGAGGCCAGATTGCATCCAGGAAGATCTAGTAATTTAGCTGATATCTTTGGAAGCGCAAAGCCACCTCGTTTCTGTGGAATATTCAGTCAGGGGTGCCCCTCCTCTCCTCAATCCCCATGGCGTATGAACCATGTCTCCCCATTCCAAAATATCTTATAGATTTTCTCTTCTTAAAAGCAGTCCAAGCGAAATAAGAAATGTAGTAGATCATATACAATTACACTATTTGCGATCTTTTCCATGGCTCCATTTGAAAAAAAATTTTCATTTAAAAAATTCCTTAACCATGTCGAAATGTCCACCCCCCCCTCCCTCAAAACTTCAAAACCCTATCAAAATATGTCCCTTCAAAAATTTTAATAGATAAATTTGTGCCATCAAACCCTTTATGGGAACCCCTGTCTTCAGTTATATTAATCTAACTTAAAAACAAACATATTTCTGCATGTTAAACATATTATTTGTTGACATTTTTTTCCAACAAAATAAAGTTAATTTTTGTTTTTCTCTAATGCTCTGCCTAAAATTGAGCATTTACATGTTTAATTTAGAAATTGGTCCAAAAAATAGATTCATTTTAATAGAATTGATTTCGTAAATAAATTCTAATTATAGCATAAAATTACAACAAATCTCAAGAAACAAAATAATATATATGATCAGGTATCTACTGGACCAATTAAACAGGCATTTGTTGGGGAGAACTAGTTGGATAAAAGTGTACTTTTAAAAGAAGGAAAAGATACGATAAAAAATGTTTATTTCTAATTAATTTTATTTTAAATTGCTAAGATTGTTATAATTTAAATAATAATTTTCTAGCAAAGCAGTATTTTATTTTAACATTTTTTTTATCAAGTTGTTAAGATATAATCCAGAAAAACCAAGTATTTTTTTCTTTTCAATTTTATTGATTAATCTTTTTTGTAAGTTAATTTTATTAAATGTTGTATCTATATCTTCCTGGACAGTGTGGTAGACATATTGCTTCCTCTTCGTCCTCAACTGTCAATGTGCCAGGTTTGGATTTGAAACGAAAATGCCTCATTTACCGATTTCGAAAAAAAAGAAGGTAAGTTTATTGATTATATTTATTTATTCGTTTGATTGTGTGAGATAATTATCAAATTGCTGTTTCTATCAGTAATGGGCAAATGCTACTCGTGAGTACTGAATACCAAGTATTTTATTCAAATACAGATCTTTTTTGAGTACCCAAGAATTTTATTACCACTTCAGTTGATTTCAAACTATTAACTGATGTAGTGATTAAATTAGAGTAAAATATTTTGTACTCAGAGAAGCATTTGTACATCTCTGGTTTCTATAATGAGTAGTTGTAAATGAAGACTCAATAGAAAGGAAACATTCAGAAGACTGAATCTATGTATTTAACAATCCCTTCACAAGAGTGTATATCTTGATTAAAATCATTAACTTATATTTGAGTGTTAATTAATTAATTCTTTTATATGATGTCTTGAGTTCAATCTTAATATATGTCAAAGGATCATAAAGTTACTATAATATACAGAATCGTGTTATGTAGTTGCCCAGAGACTGTGGATGGTGTCATATGCTAAATGCTTTACAGTGACAAGATTTATCGTATCTCTTTTATAGGAAGGAGATGATCTGGGCTGACAGTCATGAATAGGCCAAATAGTGGCAGAACTATTTTATTAAAAGACAACGTTTCGATCCGACTTTTCAGGATTCTCAGTGAAACTCTTAGCTGAACACACCTCTCTGAAGAAGACCTGCAAAGTCTGGTTGAAACGTTGGCTTTTAATAAAATAGTTTTGTCACTATTTAGCCTATTTATGACCACCACCCGGACCATCTCCTTCCTTTATAATGCAACGGTCAACTATTCAATATTCAATCTATCTCTTCTAAGTTGAAATAAACTTTTATTTAAAATTCTATTTTCTTTTTTATATTTTATTTAAGACAACTATGTAATTTAATTTTGAGAAAGAGTATACATTCATTCATTTACTATTGTCTTTATTATTTTGCCAATATTAGCTTTTTATCCCGTTTGAAAGAGGAGAAGTTAAAAGCAGTAATTAAATGTAATCAACACCTCAGTTGTAACTAAAAGAGCATAACCCTCAAATTTTGGGGGTAGTGACTATGTATTCCACCTGAATGAGAAGATCTTAAAAATAAGGGATCAATCCTTGAATTTGGTAAAAAATTGATGAAGATATGGCATACAAACTAAAAAATGCGTTTGAGAAATAATAAATGAAGATTGATAAGACATTTAAAAAAAAAATTATGATCATTCTTATATAGTAAACTTTAATTTGTTTTAGTTTGTTGCTGATGGTGTGTTTAAAGCTGAGTTAAATGAATTTCTCATGCGGGAACTTGCTGAAGAGGGCTATTCAGGAGTTGAAATAAGAGTTACTCCTAGTCGAACTGAAATTATAATAATGGCAACAAGAACTCAGAGTGTTCTTGGAGAGAAGGGTAGAAGAATTAGAGAATTGACTGCTGTAGTTCAAAAGAGGTTTAATGTCCCGCCTCAGACTTTAGAATTGTATGCTGAAAAAGTTGCAGTGAGAGGTCTCTGTGCTATTGCGCAAGCCGAATCTTTGAGATATAAACTCATCGGAGGTCTTGCTGTTCGAAGGTAACATTACTATGGTTTAGTTAAATACCCAGGTTTTAAAAAAAGTCTTTTATTTATTTCTCTTCATGACACCCACAACACAACTGGTATTAATCAAATATGTTTTTGGGTGTCTTGGAGTGATGTGATTTTTTTTTTTTTTCTGTCCTGATGAAGTCTGAATTTGTGAAACCTTGGGTTATTTTATTCTTAACCTGCATTTTAGACACCAAATCACCTCAGTGACCATACAGAGAAAGTTTTCTCTCAAATCTCAATACTTCTTTAGGGTGCTGGTTAGTGTCTATATCATCAGTATATCAGAACTGGCTTTATCATAGATTTGTACGTACCGCCTTTGATTTGAGATTTTTCGGGATTTCAATCACGAAAGATAGATTTAAGCTCTGCTTGGGGTAGTTATATACTGGTCTATCTGAGATTGTTGGTTATTCATTGAGGCTATTGTGGATCAAAGATAATTGAATTAGTCTACTTTCCCTTCTATGTAGATCTTGTTCGAATAGACTATTTGGCTTATTTTCTTAGATTTTTTATGTTTATTTATTTGTTGCTGAATTTGCTCTGTTTCTCTTACCAGAGTCTTAACAAGTTTCTTAATGTCCTCTTTATTTTGCTTCCAAGGGCAGCTATATCGTCTACATATCCAAGAATTTTATGATTCATTATTATGTGCATGTCTTAATTCTCACATGATGTTATTCTTATCTATCTCCCTGCCGTTAGCCACTGAAAACTTCGAAGACTTCAGGTATTTTTCCTTGTATCATAATTCTACATTTTGTACATACCTTTGTCAATTTTATCAACCCCCCAGAAACTTCCAGTTCAGTCATTATTTTCTAACGTTTTAAATGGAATCAGGCAGCTTTGATATCAACCTGGTATGGACATCCTGAGCTACTTCGTATCATTTTTTAAGTATTTGTTTCAGGATGAAGATGTATATTAGTTAAGTTGATAATCTTATGTTAGTATTTAGGTTTTCCAATTATAAGCTGACATTCATTCATAATGTTACATCTTCATTTTTTTATTTTATTTTTTAGGGCCTGCTATGGTATACTTCGTTTTATCATGGAAAATGGAGCTAAGGGTTGTGAAGTGGTTGTATCAGGCAAATTGCGGGGGCAGCGGGCAAAATCTATGAAATTTGTAGACGGCCTTATGATTCATAGTGGTGAGCCAACTAGAGAATACGTAGACTCTGCGACAAGACATGTTCTGCTACGTCAAGGTATGTTTGTTCAGTAGCTATTGATAAGCTGTAGTGTTGTTATTAAAAAAAAATTGGAAACAGTGGATATAAACAAAAATGTAAATGTTTTAATCTTAGATTTTTTATGCCATCACTACTGTAGAACAGCTCCCTTTTATATTACGAAATCAAATGATGATGGCCTTGCCTCTGGAATCTCTAGTTCAGGGGTTCCTAACCCAGAGTTCGCAGGCACCAATATTCCTGCTTATGTCTAACATAACCTTTATGGGACATCGCCTTGACTACAGCTTTACTGTTGCCTACTGCATATCGGAAAGTTCTTCTTTAATAATAATAATATTGAAATGAAGTGATTTGTACCGACTGACTGAGCGAAGTGGGCTCAAACATTTTTTTAAGTTAAGAAATGATGGATTCAGAATTTTATAGTTAATCAATAAATTTTATTAATTTGTTTATGATTACCCAGTTTTAATTGCATTCGTTTTCTCTGTGTTTCACTACAGATGTAATGAAAACTAAAATATCTGATTACTTTTTTAGGAGTTCTTGGCATTAAGGTGAAGATAATGTTACCTTGGGATCCATCTGGCAAGAATGGTCCAAAAAATCCTTTGCCAGACCACGTCGGAATTTTGACTCCGAAAGAAGAAGAAAAGCCACCTACGTACCCTATGTCCTTTGTACGATCTGATTTAGCACATTAATTCTTATTTGATAATTTTACATATTTTTACTCTTTCCATAATTTTTGGTGCGCTAATAATATTAAAGGCGGCCTTATGTTGTGTTACAAGTATTATGTTTTATTAATAAACAATACTGATTTAATATTTTAATGCTCTTTATAATGTGATATCACATTAGTTAATTATTATCAAATGTTAATTATTATTTAAAAAAGTGTGATTATAATCATGTAAAAGTTTAATAATTTTTTTATTTCTATATTTGTTCCATGTCTGTTTTGTAGAGCTGATGATACCTGTTGTAATAAAAAATAACTTTTTATTCTTTGTTTTTTATTAAACCTTAATTTAACTTTCAACTTGTCGCCTATTAAGGAATAATTTTTTCTCAATAAATATGGGTGCATTGAAATTGAACTAGATGAATATATTTTCAATTCAAAGATAGATTTTGTAAAGCTAACAAAAATATGCAAGTCCGTATAGCTTACTTAAAACTTAGAAAATGAGATTATCAAAAACAAATATTCCAATAAAAAATGTGTGATAAATTGCATGGAATGTAAAACTTAATAACATAAGATCCTATTCCAAATGATCATTGCCTAGCACATTTTACAGCTATTAAGTTCTTAACAATTATCTTATTAATAAGAATTTTTAATGTTTAAAATAAATTCCAACTCTCCTAGACCAGACTGAATGTTGTGTGATGCATGCTGTCCCAGATCTTTACTTTTTAAATAAATGGAATTAATATATAGTAAGGGAAAGTATTGTGATCGTGAACGATTTTTAATCTTGAGTTTTAAGAAGAAATATATGTTTTCAGATCACCTAAGTCCAAATAACCAAGTCTCACAAAATGGCCTGTGTGTGTATGTGAATAGTCTAGTTCAAAAGTCGTACATGACTGAAATTGCGTATTTACGGTTCATGGGATGTTACAGCAACTTTGTCAAAATCAGCTAACTGGAAGTACCACTTTATATCATCAATTTTACATTATTTTCTCGAAAACAATTTTGATTAAATTCATTATAGCAGAGTAAAATTAAACAGTTTTTAATATAATGTAGGTCTCATTCCTATTGATATTCTCTAACACTGTTTAAATGCTTAATTAAAAAAATTTCTTCCTCTATAATACCTTTAATTTTTTTATTTGAAACAACCATTTCACATTGAGAACTGATATAAAAGATGGTTAAATATAATGAATGAAGAAAATTTATTGGTAACTAAAGCAGAATTAAGTGTTGGAAGCTATACAGAAGTGGCTGTGTGTGCCCGGTCTCCCTTTACAGACACCCGAAACCCCTATGTACAGGGCTTTAATATTGTTAATTTGACTTATATATATTACCTATTCATAATGTTTTTAAAAGATTTTCACACGAGGTGTTGATAATCTACTAATAATATACAATATTTATTAACAAGTTATTTTTTAGTTGGATTTCGTGATAAATGTTTCTGATAAAACTCAGAATTTTATAAAAGATCCATTTTTCTCCACAATCAGTATTGTTTGATATACACAGCCGTAAAAGGAAATAATAAGCAATGCAGAGGTATAAATTAAGCAGATTCTATCTACAGGAAATACGTGGTAATTAATTGTTTTAAATGGAGTTATACCGTCTTTTTCACATTGATCTCCCTTTATATGAAAATACCTATCTATTCTAAGGTCGGTAAGTGAAAGTTAACTAAACAGTTTTATGTATGGAATAGAATTTCTACATCAGACAAAAAGTCACATTAAGAAAATGTAATTGAAATAATTAAATACTTATAATATTAATGTCAGGAGGAAGTGGTTTACTAGCCAATCCTAGTATATCTTATTTTTACTAAAGAAAAATTTTAGCTAATAATAATGATAAATTTCTTTTTAGAAACCGATGAAAATCCTCAACAGAAGAGTTCAATGTTTTAATAAATCTGGAAGAATGTTTGTTAATCAGTTTCTTAAGTTTAATTGTTTATATTTATATATTCCTTTTAAATTTTGTTATTGTTGGTAAATTTTGATTAAATAAACAAATGAGTAAATGCTAGATTTATGAGCAATAAAGTGTGTGATTATAGATAGATAATTAGAAAATGAACTTTATTCTGGGATAAGATCCATTAAGAATAACAATTATGAACAAAAACCATAACATCATTTTTTTTTTGTTTTAGGTGATATTATGTTTAATAATATAAAGTGAGACTGCATTGTGTCTGTGTCTGTATTGTATTGTGTGAAAAAAGAAGCAAACTGCTACTGAGTATGGACAGAGCAGCCCTTAAAAAGCTTACAGCGATCTATACAGGTCACTGTAAGCTAAATTACCATATGTTCAATCTCCGAGTAATGACGAATCCACTATCCAGATTCTGTCAATAGGAGAATGAAACAGCCTTTCACATCGTGTGTAGATGTGATAGATTCACAAGGCTGAGACTGGTAGTATTTGGGGAGGAACGAATGGATCTCCCCAGTAGATATGAGACATCAACCCAACCAGCCTACTTAGATACGCAGAAGCGACTAGAATAACGTTTTGATTAAAACGTCTAACTGAAATTGGCGCACAATGGATCCATTAGGGATCAACGTGCCCTGGGCCAACATTAGAAAAAAAAAAAAAGCTTTTTTACATTAGCTAAGTTTCGGCTATGATGCCAATTTGATTCAACACTTTAATTTATTCTTAATGAAAATATATTCTAATAAAACATTCAATCAGACAGAGATATACAAACTAAATAAATAAAGGTAAAATTTATCGTGGATTATCAATTACAGAACAGGTTCCTCTAAAATGATTAAAATTACCGTCAAATGGAATTATAGCCGAAATGTAGCCAATGTAAAAAAATTAAATAAACATGTGAAATAATACAGCCTCTCTTTATATTAAAAAACCATAACTGTTTATATATTGGAATTGGTAGAAAACCAGCACAGCTCAAAAAAGTAAATGCAAAAGTGAAAAATCAATATTTTTTTAGTTTTGCATACTTCTTAATTTTCATTAAAAAAATATGTATATAACCACGTGAAGTAAAGATAATAATTTATTAAAAGTTTAGTTTAGAGTTGTGCCGATCTTCTTCCAAGCTATTAGTATTGAAGATTATTAAAATAAAATATGAATTAATTAGAATAGATTTTCACAAATCTATAAAATCAACTTGTCGGGAAATATAAACCATTTATTAACAGATATAAAAATAGGTGTGCTAACTTAAACTATGAATCACGTATAGTACGTCTAGGATAAGTTTGCCTGTAGGGGGAAATGAGGTTACGCATTTTTTTCCCCTTTCAAGCTCCACCTTTCTCACCCCAGCAAACACCTCTTACAGACAATGTGTTTTTCGGTGTTCCTCTAAATTCTAATTTCAAAAGAAAAGGTGAAATAAATTTCAACTTGTAAAAAAAAAAAAAATGAATGAGTGAGGACAAAAGAGTTGGGGATCGGTGAAAAACATTTTGCCACTGTGCATCTCTGTACACACTGGAAAACTCATCTTAGACGAACTATAATAAGATTTATCAAATGAAGCATATAAGAAATTTTCAATATAAGCTTCTTTAATAAGATTATAGAAAAAAGAAATATGACATGCAACTTACCCATGATTTCTCCTAGATCTCAATTCCTTCTTTCTTGAAGTTCACTATCCGCCAAGGTTTTTAAACCCAGCAGATTTCGAAACGATAGAAACCGAATGTCCACGGCGGAAACTAAGGAAATTCACTTATACTTAAAACTGGAACACTTACATATTTCAAAATAAACACTGAGTAACGCAACCGAACCGCACCAAACCTACTAAGTAGTAGAAACTATACAAAATGTTTTTAGAATAAGATGAAAAAAAAAAAATCAAGTCCACTGCACTGCACCTTTTAAGTGTAAAAATCAAAATAATACTATGTTATTGAAGAGAAGTTGGTTGGGAAATTCAGTCAAAAATAAACAAATTAAAAAGAAATAAATGGTATTTATTTATCGATCAACTTCTCTTCAATTATTTATTATAATCAACCATCATACCACTATTATTAATACTATGCCAATGGAAAACCGATATCAATATTCAGGGAAAAGTCTCTAATGAAATAAAAATAATTGTGAAAGCTATACATCGATCTTTTGAGAAGATTATAAGTAAGTATTTATAAGATATGTACAATTCAACTTAAGTTATAACCAGAAAAAAAAAAAGAAAGATTGGAACTTGTGAAGAAAATAAATAAATATTGAGTTCAAGTATAGCTTGAAAATTATTAAAACTACATACAGTGGGTCAAAAAAGTATTGGTGTACTCCAATTTTTACGCAAATCTAAATAGAATTAATAATATTTATATAACAAAGTCGTCTTTGAGTATTATATTATAGAAGCAATGCATGTTCAGAATTCAAAAGCTGTTATGTCAAAAAAGTATTGGCACAGTTTTATGTATTCATTATTAGCTCCAGTCAAAACAAATTATTCCTTTTTCTTTCGAGAGATTAGAAACGAGGATTGATGATAATATAATAAAAGTCAGTCTTTGCTGTATTGTGTCAATTAAAAAAAAAACCAGTTAAATTACATTCTAATGGATTTAGCTACCGACAAATACCAAATAAATTAGAAATTGGTTTTAGTAGAGTTCAGAATATTGCACAAAAGTTTAGAAAGTTTTAAATAAATCCCATTCAGACCGACCACCAAAATTAAAGGTGTATCCATAAAATTGTTGAGCAAAATCGCATTTTATCAGCCACCAAAATAGCAGAAGAGGTCGCATATACTTCAAATATCACCTTCTGTTAAAAATATAATTCATATAAACAATTATGTCAAGTTTCAAAGGAAAAAAACTTTTATTAAAGAGGTGAATAGCAAAAGAAGACTTGAGTTGGCCAAAACTTAAGTTAATAAATACTTCGAATTCTGGAAAAATGTTATTTCTTCAGATGAAAGTAAGTTTAACATATTTCATTCTGATGACAAGTATGGCACAAAAATTGATGCTGAGTTTTTAGCTTGACATTTGAGGCCCACTGCAAGACATCGAGGTGAAAATGTCCCAAGTTTGAGTGAGTGTCATGGAATGGTGTTGGAAACTTAACCTTTATTGATAATATTAAGAATGCCAACCTATATGTCGACATAATTTAACAAGCAGGGCCGAAAATATGAGGATCAAAGATGCATTTATCTTCCGACAGGACAACGACGTCTGGCACACAGCAAATAAAACAAAAGAATGGATACTGTACATTGGTCCCAGCCAATGGAAAACGTCACCACAGTCTCCGGACATAA